AGGTGAGCAGGCCGCCGGCGAGCGTGCTGGTGATCTGAGTGGAGGGTGGCAGTGATGCCGATGAAGCTGGCCGAGGCGACGGGTGGACTGCTGCAGGACCTGCTGCAGTCCCTCTGATGTTTGGGATCAGTAGGTCTTCTCAGGCATCAAGTTAACAGAAGCGATTCTCTCATTGTTGTTGCTACCAGCTGCCCACCGCCACAATGGCTTGAGGATGCTGAGTTGCTCTATTTTCATATTATTTTATAAAACGGACGGCTGTGGGGTTCCAGAGTATTCCAAATAGTCCATTTTGTGTGTCTTCGGCTTGTGTACGTTGTGCGCTGCGTGATACTCATTTACAAACCCTGATGTTAATGACATTGTGGCATAGTTTTGTTTTCACACCAATCGCGCGCATGGACTACACCCACGGCCACGACGGTTGTGGTCAGTTCTGGCGGCTGGCGGCTGCCACGTCCTCCGCGTGTGCCTCCTATCCTCCCCTGGCGCGGACGGAGCCGGAGGGAGCAGCTGACCCGTGCCCCTCTGCTCGCAGGCGGACGCCGAGAAGGGCCAGCTTACGCGCAGTCTGCGCGACAGCCAGGAAAGCCTGGAGCGGGCGCGCGCCGAGCTGGAGTCGCAGCGGGCGCAGGCCGCCCAGCTGGTGGCGACGTGGAGGCGCTGATGGCCCTGCACGAGGAGGAGGAGGGCGACAGCCTGCCGCCGACGTCGGCGCCGCCGCTCAGTCGCCGGAGCTGGCCAAGGTCGAGCAGGTACGGCGGCCGGCGCGGCTGGACCGACTCTGCGACTCTGACACGGGCATGGTGTGGGGGACGGGACAGAGACGCTGGTCAAGCAGCACGCTCTGGCGACATTGGTGGCGCACAACACGGGAGAAGTTCGTCGTGTATCCTCTTCGTGGTCGGAAATGCCCATGGTTTGCGCTGTTAGATCGGTGGCCAGGCGATGAATGCTGCCACCTATTTCATTATGTGCAACTGATGAGAACATCGTGTCACTGTAACTCACGGATGTGAGGTCAAACAGCAGACCTTCAACTGGCCTGCCGGGGATGACCAGTCGTCGACCGGTGCCGCCTGTGGTGCGCCGCGGTGCTGCCATGTCGTGCCGGAGTGCCAGCCGCCCGCTCCCTGTGCCGTCCAGGTGCTGGACAAGCACCGGCAGCGGCACCAGCTGGCCATGCTGGAGATCAGCCGGCTGCAGACAGACATCCAGCACATGCAGGCCTCCGAGACCAACTCGTCAGAGGCCGTCGTCAACCTGCGCAACGAGGTGGCACGGCCGGCGCTCACCGCGGCCCGTGGCGGTCGGCTTCGGCTGTGCCGGCTCCGGATGCGTTCGTTACCTATTCTACCACGAGTGTGCCGAGCCCGACTACTGTTTTGTGGCCGTCGGTGTGCACGGCTGCCCCGGCGCTGGCCGACTGGTGCTGGAGCCTGCCGCGGACTGGATCGCTGAAGGGTTGCGACGGCCGTTCCCGGGTCGGAGCGGCTGCCGGTGGTTATCTGGGGAGGGCTGCCGGTGGTTATCTGGGGAGGGCTGCCGGTGGTTGTCTGGGGAGGGCTGCCGGTGGTTATCTGGGGAGGGCTGCCGGTGGCTGTCTGGGGAGGCCTGCTGGTGGTTATCTGGGGAGGCCTGCTGGTGGTTATCTGGGGAGGGCTGCCGGTGGTTATCTGGGGAGGGCTGCCGGTGGTTATCTGGGGAGGGCTGCCGGGGTTATCTGGGGAGGGCTGCCGGTGGTTGTCTGGGGAGGGCTGCCGGTGGTTATCTGGGGAGGGCTGCCGGTGGCTGTCTGGGGAGGCCTGCTGGTGGTTATCTGGGGAGGCCTGCTGGTGGTTATCTGGGAGGGCTGCCGGTGGTTATCTGGGGAGGGCTGCCGGTGGTTATCTGGGGAGGGCTGCCGGTGGTTATCTGGGGAGGGCTGCCGGTGGTTGTCTGGGGAGGCCTGCTGGTGGTTATCTGGGGAGGGCTGCAGGTGGTTATCTGGGGAGGGCTGCCTGTGGGTGTCTGGGAGGCCTGCTGGTGGTTGTCTGGGGAGGGCTGCCGGTGATTGTCTGGGGAGGGCTGCTGGTGGTTGTCTGGGGAGGGCTGCTGGAGGTGGAGCGAGGTATGCAAGGCGTGGCTGTTTTTTGGATTCGCCGTGCTCGGGCAGCGCTATGTTTTCATGGCATTGCACCGACCCACCTGGAATGGTAGGAAAATTTCCTGATTGCCTTGAAATTGGGGTTGTGTCTGAAGGCCCCCACGCCTGAAGGCCCCCACGGTTGTGTCTGAAGTGGAATGCGCTGCCGTTTTTAGTATGCCCCAACGTCACACAGGCACTCCTTGAGAATGTGATTCACACGCGGCCTAGTCCGAGTCGATGAGGGGTTATGTGCACTGTAGGTGGCGGAATGGCTGAGTCGGTAACAACAGTGGCCTCCGCACGGGAGGCGCGGACCGAGCTCCCGGCCGACACTCTGGCCTATGTCTCCCTTTCTGCCCCCTGCATCGGCTAGCTCTCCTTTAAACAGGCGCAGTGACGTGCACCGCGTCTTCTTTAAAAACTCTGTGACTGCGTGACTGAGCGACGCCACTGGTCTGTCCTTGGCAACGGTGTCAGTGGTGTCCACTGCCGGCGTGGACATCGCTGCGTTGTCGCTCGTCCGGGGCCAAGTCTGACGTGTGACGTCACTGACCTGGCCGTGACCGCCGCAGGTGACGTCGCTGCGCAGCCGCCTCTCCGAGTCGGAGGTGCACGTGGGCGACCTGCAGTCGGACTTGTCGGTGCTCAGCCAGCTGACGGCGCTGACGCAGGGCACGCTGTCCAGCACGCAGGAGGACATGCTGGGCGTCAGCGAGGAGCTGGCCCAGCTGTACCACCAGGTCTGCCTGGCGCACGGCCAGACGCCCCATCGCGTCATGCTCGAGCACATGCAGAACGTCAAAACTCTGGGTACGTGGCGATGCGGGGGTTGTGTGGGGAAGACCGGGGCAGTGTCGTCCCGTCTCTGCTTCGGCGACGTCGGTCCCGGGGCGGGCAGCCTACGCGCGGCCCCGTTCTGAGGCGTGAAAGGGAAGATAATGACATCAAGTTTTTGTGTCATGGTGACTGCTATCCAGCAGCGCACATTACCGCTGTCTCGTTCGCGGCGCCCCTGTCGTCGACTGGTCGCCACCATCACGTTCGCGGCCCGGCTCGGTGACTGGCGCCGAGTCGCGGCTGACTGCGAGGTGTACCAATCAGTGTCTGTGCGCTGTTTTCACGTTAACGGAGAAGCTTCCTAGCTCCAGTCTTGTGCTGCTCATGTTGGGTGTGGATGCGCCCCCGACGGCCCGGTGTACCTGACGTGCGCCGCGTTTCGCGCAGGCGAGGGCAGTCCCAGCCGCGAAGGGTCACCCAACAGCTCGTTCGCGCCCACCAAGTTCGAGCAGCTGATGAGCTCGCTGAAGCTGGCCAAACCGCTGAAGGAGGGCGAGGCGGCCGACCCGACCCTGGTCGCCAAGCAGGTCAGCAGAGGGGGCGAGAGGGGTCGGAAGTTTGATATAGACTGGTACTGGCAGAAGCCGCTGACACCTGTATTGACTCCAGTGAAGTGGTTCATGGCTTTGTGTGGGTTGGTTTTGTCCAGGCCGTCTGCGCCGACCGGTCGCATTGCAGGAGCAGATCTGCTGCCTGGACTCTGCGACAGGCGGAATTGCCGTGGTCCTCGCGCCCGCCTCAGTGTCAGAGCGCACGTCTTCCCACCCAGCTGAGACGCGACACGACGTTACACGTGTCCAGCCCCTCCCGCGTGACACCGTCCGCGTGCCGTGCCCAGATGGAGACGATCACGGACCAGGTCAAGTACCTGCGCCGCGCCGTGGAGCACGTGATGGACCTGAACAAGCAGTCGGCGGCCGGGCCGCGCGCCGAGACCGACGGCGAGGCCGACACCGAGCAGCTGCAGATGGAGGAGCTGCAGGAGCAGGTGCGCTGCGGGCGGCCGGGGAGGGGAGGGGGGGGGCGAGGGACGGCGCGCCGCCTGCTGTCTCCGTACCGTCCGAGTGGGCGCAGGTGGAGTCATTTCGGGGCGGCGCGACGCCAGGAGCCTCGTTCAGGAGCGCCGCTGCTATCCTGCGGTGGGTTCGGACAGGGGCCCCATGTGTAGGTACGGCCACTGCGTCGTTACTGGGGTGACATACTCAGACGGTAGGTGTCGCTTACGGGGGATGGTTATCTGCTCGTACACTGTGAGCTGCCCCGCCTATTACGCCACCAGGGTGGAAGGTAAGGTGTGTGGTTGGAGCTGTGGAGATATTATCTGGGACACGTGGGCTAGTCGTGAATAATTATGGGGTTCAGAGCCTGCCATAGCTATTCTATTGCAGTGGCGTAATTGTTTTGGACGAGCTGCGTCCTAACACTGTCGCATGACAATGCTGGTAAGGTCCCCCTCCAATCCTGGACATTGAAACCGGTTTCTCCGCGTAGCTTGACCGTGTTCCCGCCTCTGACCTCCCCCGGCGCGCCAGGTGATCAAGCTGAAGAGCCTGCTGTCCACGAAGCGGGAGCAGATCGCCACGCTGCGCACCGTGCTCAAGGCTAACAAGCAGACGGCCGAGGTGGCGCTGGCCAACCTCAAGTCCAAGTACGTCAACGAGAAGACTATTGTCAGCAAGACCATGATGAAGCTGCGCAACGAGCTGCGCCTGCTCAAGGAGGACGCGGCCACCTTCTCCAGTGAGTCGGACAGATGGGCTGACGCATCTGGGTGACCTGCTCTGGATCAGGCGCCGCTGGGCCGGGCCTATCAATGGCTTGGTTTCCGAACGCCTACGTCTTTGTCTTTACGATGTGATGGCTACCCCACGTGCGGTGCTGAGGTGTGCATCACATGTGCGTTGGTTATTCTTCGCCTTTACTTTTTGAAAAATGCCTTGGCACTGTAAGGCCGTTCGCGCTGTGGATGATGGTGCAGCTCTTAATCGGGGTGATATTTGCCACATCTATCTGTGATGCAGTGCACTCCAACCTCACGGTAAGTTTGTCTCGTCGATCATACTCTGGGTGGGGTCAGCGCGAGGGCGGAGGCGGGCCCTTGCGAAGTCGCGGCGTACGAGGCTAGGTGTGAGCTCCTCGGCCTGTGGTACAGACGTGCCGCCGCCGCCACCGAGGCTGCGTGTCCCGTCCACGGGCCGCCGTGTGGCGGGTGTTGGCCGTGGCCGCCGTCACCAAGGCCGCGTGTCCCGTTCACGGGCCGCCGTGTGGCTGGTGTTGGCCGTGCCGCCGCCGTCACCGAGGCTGCGTGTCCCTTTCGCGGGCCGCCGTGTGGCGGGTGTGCGCCGCGCAGCCGCCTCACCGCTGGCGCCGCCGCCGCCGCCAGGTCTGCGCGCCATGTTCGCCGCTCGCTGCGAGGAGTACGTCACGCAGGTGGACGAGCTGCAGCGACAGATGGCCAGCAGCGAGGAGGAGAAGAAGACGCTCAACTCGCTGCTGCGCATGGCCATCCAGCAGAAGCTGACGCTCACCCAGAAGCTGGAGGACCTGGAGCTGGACCGCGAGCGGCGGCCGGCGCGCTCCTCCGCCGCGCAGGTCAGTGTCGGGGCGGTCACCGGGTGAGGTCAGGTGTGGGTGACGTCACGCGCCGGGCTGCTGGTCTGCTGTCGTGTGCCGCGCTGGTGCGCGTCGTGTGCTTCGCGCTAGATGTTCGGCGGGAGTTGACATTGGGTCGTTGTGTTCTGAAGAGTCGATCTCCCGCCCTCCCACCTCTCATCCCCAACGCACTATGCTTTAGCAGTTGGTTGACGTGCTACATTCACCGTGGTGCGGCTGTTGTTGCTGTTGTTGTTTTTGTTTGTTGTCAAATTCTGTGAACTTGGGTCAAGTCCACGTTCGCTGTCCGCCTCGCCTTGTTACACTGTTTCGCGGCCGCCGCATCACCGTATCCATTTCGATCGCTGTTGTCAGTCCCTCGCCGGCCGATCCGTATGGTGCCACGTCCGCGGCGGCCAGTGTCACACCCGTGCCGGTCACGTGTGCCGGCGTCACCGGGCCGCTCGCTCGAGTGCGCGTCGCCCCGGCAGCCTCCGTCGGCACATCGCCGGCTCGGCGTCAGCCGCGCGCTGACCCGGCACTGTGTCCCGGCGCGTGGCGGCCGGCCCTTCGATCCCCTTCAGTCACACTTTGCTATGACACTGTGACACCGTCGCTGGTGTGTCACTCTGCCACAGTTTCTGTCCGTCGCCGTCGGTCGTGAGTCGCCGTGCCAGCTCCTGCGCGTCGCTGTCAGTCACCGCTTCACCGCGGCTGGCTGTGTTAATGTTGGACGTGGCTCGCAGCGGCACTGTATCTCTGTCAGTGACGGTGCCAGTGGCAGTGGCAGTGTCACGGTTGTGTCAGCGCCGTGTCATCGTGTCATCGTGTCATGACATCTCTCCGTCGCTGCCGGTGGTGCCGTCGCTGTTCCGACTGCGTCTCCGCCGGTGCCGCGCCGCCGCGTGACTGTCTCCCTCGTGCCGGCAGGACGGCAGCTGGCGCCGGTTCGGCGGCGGCGAGCGCGGCCGCTCGCGGGGTGGCGCGGCCCGCGGCGGCCGCTTCTCAGCCGGCGGCGGCGGCTACGGACGTCGGGAGACCTGACCCGCGTGCACCCAGATGTAGCCCCGTTCCTGCAGGCCGTGCCCGCCGTCCGGTCGACGGCGGGCCCCGGTCTTAAGCTGCGGCCGGCCGGCGGCGCTGTAGTTCTTCACTCGCTTCGACATTTCAGCGCGGCGCGCGCCGTTTGTGACGCGGTGCCGCGTGTTCCGGCCGGCAGCGTACTTAACGTGAATGCAGCTGCGCGTACGGGTCCTGTGAGCGCGAGATCAAGCGGATACCAAAGGAGGCTGCTCCCATCTCTCGTCTGAAGTGGATGCAATATCGTGAAGTATTACGGCAGCGTCGTTCTGATTCCACGCGGTGCTTCCGGCGGCTGCCGTGTGTTCGGCGCGTTCGTTTCCGTTACTGCGCCGCACGCCGTCCATGGGGCATTTGTCCGGTCGCGAGGGACGTTGCCAGACTGAGCCAGTGTATATTCCGGTTGCCATGCTCCCCGCCGCCGCTGGACTGTCACGCCCCCACCCTCCCCTTGCCCGTTACGGTCCCCCTCCCTGGCTGCTGTCGGTGCGGGCGCCTGTCCTCGTGTTGTTGCGGGCCGACCCTCGGCGCCCCCGCGCTCCGCGTCTGTTGTACAAAGTCGGGCAGGCCGCGCCGCTGGCATGCTTGTGCCAAACCGTCCAGGTGCGGCCCGGCCCGGCGGCGGCCGCGCCCGCCGCTGGCTCGGCTCGGCTGGCTCGTGCCCGCTCCCAGGGTGGGGGTGGCGAGCGAGCCTCCCCCGGCCGAGGTGTGGACCAGCCGCGTGTCGCGGCGTTCTCAGTCGCGGCCGATGTATTTATTGCATGCCTCTGAGCTTGGTGCGCGGTAGCTTTAGTCTGGAGGTGGTGTGTGAATGGAGGACCGCTCGTGAAACACCCACGAGGCAGCTGATCGGTTTTATATTTTGTCCTTTTAGATGCGGAATATGTTTACATAATATGCGACAATCGAGTCTGACCTGCGCCGACAATATAACAGGTAACTGACATGTTTAGTATATAACTGCGCTTTAATAAAACTATCGGAAAACAATGAGCGTTCAGCATGGGACCAGACGGCATGCACGATCTACAGGAGCAGATGCCTTGCGGGTTGAATTGTTCACCGGAATTATTCGAACGGAGCGCATGAAATGCTGGGACGGCCGCCTTCTGAGCGACATCGTCGCAACGTGGCTTCTCCGCAGCTCAGGCGTCCCGCTAGGTCTGACCGGAAATTCGTAAGTTGCCGAATCGTACTGGTGTCCGTCTGGCCTCCCGACGCGGCTGCGAGGCGTCTCGGTACGCTGACGGCTGCACACGATGACGTAGGATACGGACCGTGACGGCACGCCATCGCGGGAGCGGGGCTGCCGGATACATCCCACGCGTCCGTGTCAGCGGCCTCGTGATTGCACGCCGCAGCTCTGTGCTCGGCATCGACGCAGGCGACTGGCACTCCGTCACCGAGCCCGACCAGCTGGGTCGTACCGCTGGTACCCCACAGCCCTAGCAGCTGGGTCGTACCGCTGGTACCCCACAGCCCTGGCAGCTGGTTCGTACCGCTGGTACCCCGGAGCCTTAGCAGCTGGTTCGTACCGCTGGTACCCCACAGCCCTAGCAGCTGGTTCGTACCGCTGGTACCCCGGAGCCTTAGCGGCTGGTTCGTACCGCTGGTACCCCACGCCTTAGCAGCTGGTTCGTACCGCTGGTACCCCGGAGCCTTGGCAGCTGGTTCGTACCGCTGGTACCCCACAGCCCTAGCAGCTGGTTCGTACCGCTGGCACCCCGGAGCCTTAGCGGCTGGTTCGTACCGCCGGTACCCCACGGCCCTTGCAGCTGTTTCGTACCGCTGGTACCCCGGAGCCTTAGCGGCTGGTTCGTACCGCTGGTCCCCGGAGCCTTGGCAGCTGGTTCGTGCCGCTGGTACCTCACAGCCCTAGCAGCTGGTTCGTACCGCTGGTACCCCGGAGCCTTGGCAGCTGGTTCGTACCGCTGGTACCCCGCAGCCCTAGCAGCTGGTTCGTGCCGCTGATACTCCGTAGCCCTGGCAGCTGGTTCGTGCCGCTGATACTCCGTAGCCCTAGCAGCTGGTTCGTACCGCTGGTACCCCGCAGCCCTAGCAGCTGGTTCGTACCGCTGGTACCCCGTTGCCCTGGCAGCTGGTTCGTGCCGCTGATACTTCGTAGCCTTGGCAGCTGGTTCGTACCACTGGTGCCCCGAATCCTTGGCAGCGAGACAGCCCGGTCCGTGTGACCTGTGTACTGACGTCCCCACCTCTAGTCGTCCACGCTCTGTCCAGTAGTCACGACTGACACGCATTGGGACGTGCTCCTGTGAGGTCAAGCACCTCGACTCAGGCCTTGGGTCCCAGGGCGGCGCTCGACTCGCTGCGCATGTCTGAGGTCCCTGGCCGCCCGCCGTAACACAGGGCTCGGCGCGAGTCAGCGCCGCTCGTCCGGCACGCCTCGGAGGGGCCTGACGTCGCGGGGCCGCGCACCATGGGACTGGCCTGCGGTGGCGTCGCTGGGGGCGGTCGCAGCTGGCCCCAGGCGCCGCGCTGGCAGCTCAGCACTCGCGCCACCGCCGCCAGTGCGGGCGTGCTCGCTGTGGTTAGCCTGATAACCCCAACCCGAGCATTAACTTACCTATGGGCCTTGCTTACATCTATAGCGCAGTACACCAGACTGACGGACATGCAGCTGTGACAAAAGCTGTCTGCGATCACTGCATAGCAACGCTTCCCCGCCACACATCGCCACAACCACTTGTAATGCGACTCTCACACTTACTGCGCAGATTTGACATGGACTTTTGCCCGCGTTCCACCGCATCAAAAACCGATTGCACCGTATCAACCTCGTTCTAAACCAAATAACTCAAAGACTGGTTGCGCCCTCCAACACTTACCTGTGTGTATGGCATCAGCGCGTCGACGCGGCAAACAACGCCCCCCCCCCCCCCCCCCCTGTCAACAGCTGTCGTATCTCGCCCGCAAGTCGCACAGCGTCCAGGTCCCTATCTACGCGCCATGTACCCATCCACGCGTTATCACTCGCTCGCTCAGAAACAAAAACATGGGTTCGGGCTCGGCGAAACGCTTGCGGCCGTGAAGCATATCGCTGGTCGCGAGGAAGACCGCGGGCCGAACGGATCGATTACGTCGCCTTACCAATCCGTCTGGCCATTCTTGCGTCAATTCTGGTGTTTGGTGCCAAGCCCCGTCTGTTGGACATCAGACGCACTCATTCTTTCGTGTTTGGTATTAAATGAACGTCAGATGCAGTCTCCAGCTAATATTATGGCTATTTTAGGATGCAGGTAACTATAATGGTTTGATCAATCAGACAGCAATAGCTATAGATAGCGGCTGCACATCATTTCCAATTGCTGCACTCACAGCCATTTCCATTGTTGCATTTACGACCGTTTCCATCGCTGTATTTACATTTTACAACCACCACGTCTGCATGAGCACCTGCATGCGTACAGGACACAGACATTGCGTAATTCAGAGATCCGACTAGACCAAGAACACTCCTGAACGGCGAGGGTATTCATCGCAACTGCCGTCCGCTTCGGCGCTAGATATTTGGTGTCCGAGCGAAAAATCGACTCGCGGTTCGCCGAGCGCCTTTCTGCCAGCTGCTTTAGGGCGAACTCCATGGTGACATGTAGAACGTCGGTGTTCAGAAATTCGAATCGGTTCGATGCCGAACCACAGACTGGCGGCACGGACGAATCGCGCAATGCCAAAATGGCGAACCCCTAATTGGCGAATTAAAAAATGATGACGCGTGAAAAAGTTGACGTGCCGTGGAGGCTGCGAAATGATGCGTAAAAAGGTTGGCATGCTAAGCTGGCATACGGCTTATGTTGCTTAACTACTGAAGGGTAATGTTTGAATAAATGCCGACATTGAAAGATATCTCAGCTGACACCCTATTTAATTTATGCCATCCAACAGTGCGACGCTACCTTGTCTTTTAACCTTGAATAGGTATTTACAAATCAACCTTGATTCACGTGCTCTAACACGCGCCCGGGTGGCCGGCTCGATACCTTCGCTAGGGTGGGGGTCAAATTGACCCCCCTGAAATCCGGGAACTAAGAAGCTAGAGACACCAAATTTCCAGGGTGTGTCGACCTGTACGCGAACTCACTTAGGTCGAGTTTCAGGTTCCTAGGTCATGACCTTTGGGTCCAAACGGTCAAACAAAGTCAAGTTCCAGGTTGGTCTTCGAAGTGCCCTCAGAACGTAGATAGCCGTTTCTAAGCAAAAGGTCCCATTCCTATTTGAGGTCAATGACCTTGCTAGACCTTTAAAGGCCAATGTGACCAAAATCATACAAGATTGCTTTGAGTTTTGCATTTGACTAAGCGACAAAGATTACGCTAGGCAGTATGTTCCTAAAACAAAATGTTGACCTAGGTCATTTTAGGTCAATGACCTATTCTGACCTCTAAGAAGTCCATGGAAGATGTATAATGCGGTTCCTGCTATCAATAAACTCGAAATGAGCACCAGAAACTATCCCATACAGCAAGCCCTTGAGTAAAAAACAGGTTGGTTTAGACCTTGGTGTGACCTTCATACCTGACCTTAGGTCAGCTTAATTTGCCCATTCAACTGTTGTGCTGTCTAAAAAACACTCCGTTGTTGGATTAGTTGAAAGATTCCTAGAAATTGCCTTCGCTGAAACCATGGCCTGACTTTGACCTGTCATAGGTCAGCGACCTTACAGGGCCCATCTAAATTTTTGATGCCAAGCGATCCGCTATTCAATTGTCTACAGCTATGCAAAATTAGGCGGGGCTACGCCGCGCCGTTCGGAAAAAAACCTTGGGGGGTCAATTTGACCCCCCCCCATCCAGCGCGTTACAGAGCCCAGGCTTCAACGAATACCTAGGCTTCAAACGGCACTTGCCCGAGCGTGTATCAGTCCCATACACAGAGCAGGTCGGCGATGCTCCGTCCTTTGACCTTGAAACTTTGCGTTTTTATAACTTATTTTTAACCGCAACGACTGACCTTGAAGGCCGTCATTTTCATAACTAGGCTGACACGCATATAGGCCTCTCAGATGACTCAGATGACAGGCACCATATAGGCCTTTTTAGCCCGTGCTGCCCCGTTTTTTACCTAGACCTTCGCCGCCTAGTTTGCTTTCACTTACGGTTTCTGGGAGCCCAGGCTGGAACTGATTACTGGTTTTCAACGACCCTCCATTTAATGATGTAGTGCTTTACAGCGGTAGCATGACACTACCCCGTTCTTGGACCCTGAGTGTGATCCTGACCCGTTTTTTTTTTTTTGTTTTCACCTAGACCTTAACCGCGTAGTTTGACTTTCACTTACGGGTTTCTGGGAGCCCAGGCTGGAACTGACTTCTGGTCCTGCGATCGATCAGACGACGCCCCATTTAATGATGGTAGTGCTTTACAGCGGTAGCATGACACTACCCCGTTCTTGGATATTGAGTGTGACCCCGAAAATCTACCTGGATTCACACCTTTCCGGCAGCTGAGGCTTGAAGTGGATATCTGGCTAGCGAATGACCTGGCCGCCTCCATGGTCTAGGGGAAAGATGCTCGGCTGGTAACCAGGCGGCACTGGATACGATTCCCAGAGTAGGCGGTACTGCTTGACCCGACTGAAATGGAGAGTGTCGGCTGGCAACTGGCCAACGAGGGTCGACCCGGGCACGGGGCAGCCGTTGTCGCAGCTCTGTGCGGCAAGTAAAACTTCCGCACTCCCGTCTGGCGCGAGGGCAGAGGTAAAATTATCTGTCGACTCGACGGCACGACTGGTGTGTTGGGGTGCACGCAGCAAGCTATGCTTGGCGGTTTTGTAAGACCGGTGAGACCGCACCCATGCAAACTATTCAGAATAAATTTCTATAAAAAATGACGCCATATTTAGAGGCGTAACCTCCATACAACGAGAATGGGATTTCACCCCAATCTGAACTCGAAGCGTTGCCCCCTGAAAGGTATTTTTGCCACCCTACGCTGGAACGCACGCCTGGCTTTCATCTGGAGGCTTTTCCCACACACATAGCTTTCATGTGGCGCTGCCCTCGCGCGACCTCGTTCTCGTGACAGCTGGAGGTCAACTGCTTGAGATAGAGAAAAAACACGGTTCTAAACCAGCGGTTTGTTGATCTTGAAACCATTTTCATATCGGGATTGGAACTATGCGCTGAATTCGGAAATGAATACGCCGCTGCGCCGTCTGGTCAAGACCATTTTGTCCGTCTAATGCGCTTGACCCGCATGCGCAATGCGTCGCACCGCCCATTAATGCTACAACCATTTACAGTCGCCTTTCATCAACCAACCCAACATGTCGAAGAGCCGCTAAGCACGGCACCTGGCACCCGCCGTCCCATACAACGTCCTTTACTTACGATACCCATACGCCCACTAGAGACGGCGCGCACGTCCGCCCACTGGCTATTACGGCCGCCAAAACAATGAGAGCCGGACTGTTACAAACGGTGTCTAGTGGGGACAGGCACTCAGTGCCCGTGGTATGCGACAGGGGAACTAAACGTACACAACACACATCTGTACAAATATGGTATACTTACTTCCCTGCATCGTTCACATCAAATACAGCCCTTCACAACGCAGTTTATTGACGATACCTCCCGTTTCAGGTAGTTAAGGAATGATATGTCCGGCATGCAATTGAAAATATATTCTCAAACAGCGTTCATGATTAGGTGGCGAGCCGAGCGGTTAGCGAATCACATACAAGGTAACTCCCGGATCCGCCGCGGTAAAGCTTGCGATAATGCGATCCACATACAACGCGTGCGATAAAATCACCTGGCATGCACGCACCCGACAGCACGATCAGTATGGTGCATGAGTCGTCTGTTACACGACCTGAATCATTTCCACTCCTAAAACAGCAGGGCAATCCACGTGTTCAGACCAGCACCGACCAGATAAGACGCGCAAGTGCAATACCAAATGGTTGATCATCCAGAAAGCAACACGGCCATTTCGTCACCACGCATCAGTCCATCGTTCCTTCTGGGTGACCACAGCCCAGGCGAAACCAGGCCGGCAAAGGCACTGTTCGAGGCCCCCAAAGGTCCGCCTGGAAAGGGACGGTCCGCAGGCGGCCTCCAACAACGAGCACGCCCCGAGGACAAAACGAACGCGCCTCGGACTGGAATTAAAACCTAACCCACGGTTGTTAAAGACGGCAACAAACGCCCGGTGGCCCCGACATGGGACCGTAAAACTAAAACCGATTTAAAACACGGCCGCTTTTTCGGCGTGGAGGCTCAAGGTCAGCGGAAGGTCGGAGGCCGGGAGTTCGAACGAAGCTCGCGGGCGCGCGGGACAATAGCCGGCGAGCCCGATAGGTGGCGCTAGTAGTCGTAAACTCGCTGCAAAGGCAACAGGCGGGCGGTGAGGCGGCGCCTTCCGGGCCCCAGCGCGGCCAGACAGGCACAGGCGCAGGCGACAGGCGGCAGGCGGAGCGCGGCCCTACGTCACGCTGCTCACGATGCCAGATATCGAACGACGCCTGCTGGCGGTCCAACGGCCGCAAACCCTACCGCGGCCGCTGGGAGTCATGACAGCACCCGGCTATCAGCGCTCGCTGCTCAGGTGTTTGCAGTCATGCGGGGTTGGGATGGCGATGGCGCGACGCGTCACCATGCAGGCCGGCGTGCAAGGCATGCAGCTGTAAGGGTGGCCGGTCAGCGACCGCTGGGTTAGCCGGAGTTCTACAGCGCAGGTGGTATCCGGAGTTCTACAGCGCGGGTGGCATGCAGGCTGCTACAGCTCGCTGGTGTCCACCGTGAAAAAGCAGGCTGCGGAGGAGCACATGCCCGGAAGCGTGTCAAGTTCGTCACACAGATACGACGCCTTCGCCCCCCCCCCCCTCCCGCAGAAGTGTTAGTGTAGCTACAATTGTAGCCATCGAAAAACTCAGAAGCGTGCAAACGAACGATAACGGGGACCCACTGACCCACCACCGCAGCCTCGTGCCGCACTGTACGCGGATCGTCGGGCGGCCAGCACCAATGTCTTGTCTCTGGAGCCGTGTCCGCCGCCGGACCGTAGCGGGGCAGCTACAGTGTGAAGTTCAGCTTGCACAGACCGCCACCAGATGTCGGGCCGGTTACCTGTTGCCGTGGAGACGGCGCGTGTTGGCCTGCCGCTGCGGGCCAGAAAGGACGACTGGCCGCCGCTGATGTTCGAGAGACGCTGCTCCACCGCCTGGCGGTGGATCTGCGAGCCCTGGGCACACGTTCACGTGTCACAAAACCTGGCTCCGCTGGATGGCGCATCAAACCCTGCCAACGCGGCCCCGCGCTCCTTCCCGCGTGACGTCAACCGCTGAGGGTCGAATGGAGACAACTTCGTTCCCAACCGTGCTGTGCGGTTTAGATCACTGGGTTCAGTGCAGGCTTCGGGCTAGTTCGCGACGAACTCACGAAGTTGTAGAAGGCGGTGGTGATGAGCCGCTCTCGCCTCGCGGATCGACTTCGCCTTCTCGCTCTCCTTTTTCCATCACCTCCAGCAGGCGGGTCCTTCTCGGCCAGCTGCGACGGCGCCGCGACACATTCAAACCACAATCCAAACAGTTATAACAGCTTACCCAACATGATAAACTTTCGTCTTACAGTACCAGTAACGACCCAATTGTGAACACCACCCACACTTCAAATGGGAGTTGCAGCGTAGCAACATGGGACGCATCCCGTGCCCGCCCGTCGCCCCAGACCCCTCCAGAGGGCCGCCGAGCCGACCGACGCCGGCTGCTGCCCCGCCGGCGGCGAAGCCGCAGCACACCCGCTGACCTGATGACGCAGTACGGACACGTCAGGGGAGCTGGCCGAGCCGGCCGTCTTCGGGTCGAGCGAGCGGATCACCGACTTGGCCTTCTCCAGGTACTTCTTGTAGCGCTCCTCCATGGCGGCCATCTCGGCGTCGCGGCGGGACAGCTGCTCCTGCTGCTCCTGCGTGCGAGCCGCTGCCGGCGGCGCGGGCCGGCGTCAGCGCGGGCCGACTCCGGTGCGGCGGCGAGGGGGCGAGACAGACACAGGCAGCAGCCCGCCGAGATGTAGCGGACAGGGATTGAGGTGAGACCAGTCAACTGGCGTCCGTACTAGCTGCGCTCGCACTCCTATCGACACTCCAGTTCATACCAGAGACAGTACTGGACACACAAGGGTACTCATGAGCCAACAGAGCATGCACCAACGCGATGCAGCGCGGGAGCCGCCGGAGCGGGCTGCCGACACAGGCGACAATTCGAACAAGTCAGGTCGGCCGCTTGGTAGGACCTGGCGGACCCACTCACCCTGCTCGGCCAGCCGGATCTCCATCTCGCCGATCTGCATCGTCTTGTTCTGCAGCTCCTGCTCGAGCGAGTACAGGCGGCTGGTGGAGGGGGCCGCGCGCTCCGAGCCGCCGCCCTCCTCCAGGTGCGACTGCAGCTCCAGGATGCGCTGGTTCAGCCGCCTGTGGTGCCGACCGGCGGCGAGAAAGCGAAGCTGAGATACGCGTGGTGGCCGCGGGATACATGTGGCGCGGCGGTCGGCGGCGCGCACCGTCCCGCCGCTCGCCGGGTGTAGCCGGCGGCGACGGGGCGAGGCGACAGCCCAGCCGACCCCCGAAGCCGCAGCACAGACGAGCCGGAGCCCCGGCCGTCGACGCTCGGCGCCGAGCGACGGTTGGCCGGCACGTCGGCGTGCGCACGCCCCACGTGACCGGGGACCCGCCCTGGCCGGGGCGCCATGGCCGGGCGGGCCGCAGACCACGTGACGCGCGGGGCGCGCCGCCGGGAACAGACAGACGGCGACACGGACAGAGTCCCGTCCCGCCCCGCCCCCGTCCCCCACCGAGAGCTCTCGCCGGAGGAGAGGAGAGAGACAGAGGAGGGGCGCTCCTGGACCGGGCGGCGGGCGTCTCAACCGAACAGCCGAAAAGGTACTTACATGGTGCACAAGGAAGAGCCGAGTGTTCGCACGCTCCGAGGTGAGCTGCAGGGGTGCGTGAGTAGCGAGCAACAGGAGAGACACGGAGCGACACAAGAGGACAAGAGAAGAGCCGCCGCCATCCAACCCACCACCGTTTACCTGCAGCGCGTCTCAGACAGCGGAAGGTCGAGAACGCCGGTTTAATTCGCTGCCCCCGCCCGGTTAGTGGCCGCGCGCCGTCCTGCGTCGCCGCGTCGTGTCGTCGCGTCCGGTCGGGTCAGGTCAGGTCAGGTCGGGTCGGGCCAGGTGGCGTCCCCGTCCATCGCCGCGCTACTGTGGACACATCTGAAAGCGAGCGCCGCGCCGCAAGCAAGCCCCGGCGGGCTGACCATGCTCTCGGGGCCGGGTCGGCCGGTGGCGAGCAGAAACACACGGCCGGCTGGCAGGTGCGTATATTCTCTCGCTCTCTCCGGAGACGGCGGCGGGCGGCAGTCGGTGGCGCGGAGCGCTGTCCTGTCCGGGCGTGCTGCGCTGGGCAGGGCGGCCGGGCGGGTGCGGGAGCCGGACGGCCCCTCCGTGGTCCGCCTACAGCTTCGAGGCCGGCCAGTACCGGCACACGCGAGCCCGCGGTGACCCCGCCACGGGCGACCGCAGCCGAGGTCCCATGTCCACCAACCGCACTCGTGTCAGAAGAGACTCTTCGTGGATATCACCCGGCTCGGTGGGGTTGGTGCGGCTCGGGCCGAGCGGACCACAGAGGGGTCGTGCACACGCTCTCGCACCCGCCGCGCTGCCGGGGTCTACTTCTGAACGCTCGATAACGGAGACAGTGCTCAAGAAAGGCGTCGTGATTTGACCCCACCGACCTCATCATGTAGCGGGTTGTCCGCTTTCGTGTGAAAGAAGAGTGTGGGACAGAAGTAGAAGCCACAGCATGCCCAGACACAACAACCTTCCGTGTCTTTATGACATAAAGCTCACAGTCGCTCACGCACACTACAATGTACTAAGGCAGTGAATAATAAATGAGAGATTCGAAGCAAGATCATATCATTCAGGTGCAACCAATCGCAAAGGTGAACTAGCTACTTAAATGTCGTTCATCTAGCACCTTAAAGTTGCAAAACACAAAACACAAGTTGCATTTAAAGCAAAGGCGCATGCTACCAAGATCTAATCAAACGTAAAACTACAGACCAAACAAGAAAACGACAAAATGCCCTCCCATCCGACAATATTGGGACCAGACAGCGCCACCAAGCAGCCAAGCACCGCGCGCCCTCCTCCCGCTGGCTACCAAGACGTGCGACGTTCGCCGCCGACTGCCTAACGCAAGCAACGCAACAAAACCTCAGCACGCGTGCCGCCGTCCGGCGTGCCGGCGTCAAACCCGGCGCGCAGACATCCGTGAAAGACAAGCAGACGCGAGCCGACGCGGCGCGAGGGGCCGGGTCCGACGAGGTGAGCTCCGGTGGCAGCTCCCCGCCGCGGTCAACCCTCGCCGGCTGCCGGGCGGCCAGGCCGGGGCCTGGCCAGCCGGCAGGGCACGTACGTCTGCGTCCTCCGCGCGTGTGGCGTCGCGTGAGCTAGCGCGGCGGCGAGCTCACGGAGCGCACATGGCGAAGGTGGCGCCCACCAGGGTCACCGTGTCCATCAGCTTGCTGCGCCGGTTCTTCGACTTGGAGCGCGAGCGCGAGCGCCGCGGCCGGCGGAAGCTGCGCGAGCGCCACCGCGCCATGGCCGGCTGCGCCTCGTCCAGCTCGTCCTCCTCGTCTCCGTCGGGCGCGGCGTCGCGCGGCGGCGAGCGCTCGGCCAGCGGCGCCAGCCGCGCCGCCGGCGAGAACGCCCGAAACACCTCCGGGTGGAACTCCTCGGCGGACGCCAGCGACGGCGTGGCGCGGCTGCCGACGGCCGAGTCCTTGCTCGGCGTGGTGACGTACAGCGGCTCATCCAGCAGCGAGCCGGACGAGTCGCTGGCGCCGGCGGTCGAGGCCGGCGGCGGGCCGTACAGGCCGTCGTAGCAGCCGATAAACGACATGCGTCGCTCCAGGTACTTGTCGCTGCGCTCCGTCACGCCCGTTATCGTGGTGGTGCCCGAGCCACACTCGATGTCCATCAGGCGCGCCGCGTCCAGCGTCGTGCGCCGTGACGAGCAGCCGCAGCCCGAGTCGAGCGAGTCCTCCTTGCGCGCGGGCACCTTCAGTTGGCGTTGGCGCTGCGCGCCCGGCCACCGCTCCTGCTTGTACTTGACGCTGCCCTGTCGCGTGAAGCGCTGCGGGCCGCGCGACGACGCCACGCTCGCGTCGTCGCGCGACGAGGCCACGCTGGCCGCGTCGTCGGCCGGCGGCGGCAGCAGCAGCGGCGGCGGCGGCGGCGGGGGCGCGGCCGGCAGCAGCTCGCTGGTTGACGTGGCCATGTCCTGCAGCCGGCGGATGTACTCCTCGGTGTACGCTGCTGACGGCGAGCGCTGCGGCCGGCCGTGCGTGCAGCCGGGGCCGCACGTCACAACCGGCGAGTGGCGCTGCGGCGTGCCCGCCGCCGACACCAGCTGGTCCACGTACTCGCGCAGCAGCGCGTTCGGGCTCAGCCGCACGCCGCTGTCGGTCGGGCTCGGCCGGCGCAGCTCGATCGGCTCCGGCGACGTGCACAGCTTAATCTCGTGAATGTGTCGGATGGTGACCTGGTCAGTGAGAGGCGCCGACGACGGCGGCGGCGGCGGCGGTGGCGGGGGCGGCGCCGCGCGTGCCGCGTGCGCCGCGGACGCCGCGAGCGACGGCGGCGCCGGGACGCGCACTGGGGCCCGCGCCGCCGCCGGTCGGCGCGCCAGCAGCTGAGTGTCGGACGCCCACCTGTTCTCAGCCTGCAGCGAGGTCTCGCGCGCGCGCAGGTCGTCCAGCAGCGCGCGGTACGCCTCCTCCTGGTCCTGGCGACCGCCGTCCACGCGGGCGCGCAGCTGCCGGTTCTCGTGCTGCAGCCGGAGCAGCTTCTCCCTGCGGGCGGGGAGAGGCGGCGGCGCCGCTGCAGGGAGCTCGACGCGGCAGGGCGATGCCAGGCCTCGCGCGGAGAGAGCCGAGCGGCTCTCACGGGGTAGGCACAGGGAGGAACAGGCTCACTCACGGGCTCATCTCAACACTGCCGCGACACGGACGGGGATGGTACTCACGCTAACACACTTGCCTCAGACAAGGGCTGATCCGTCACCCCCACACGACCACCAGAGGCTCACACGGCTCACGGGAGGCAGAGGCGTCACACGTAATAGTTACCGCGGGGATGCGTGGTACGCTGGAAGTACAGTCGTCGCATTTACACACTCGCTCACTGGACCGGCTCAAGGACTGAATCGGGCCCGCCAATGAGCAGTATCGTCGGACAACAACAAACAATGCGAAGCTCATGGATGAATAACTTCGAACTGACACAAAAACACACCGCTTGAATCACATCAAACTTGAAGAGCTGGCTCAAAACCAGGCAGCCAGCCAATGATCGCGACAAAAAAACAAGCCAACAAGCGCGTGCACAAGGGAGCATCAACCAGGCGGGCGGGACAAACACACGAATGAGGCGACTGGACCCTGGAGCGAGCGCAAAACACTGCACTTAGCAGTGATTTCGAAAGCCAACCGACATGCACGTCGCCCACACGCATGCACACGCACATACAAGCAAGGGCACGACGCGTCCGCGGCCGCGCGCACGTCACCCACCCTGAGAAGAACTCTGATGGCAAGTCAGCCGTTTCTGCGTACGCACCGACGGCGGCTAGACCGCTTGCTACACGCCGGATGGCTCGATCCGCATGACAAAGGACACTCGCTCCCCCTGCCGCTTGAGGACCCCCGGCAAATCAGAGTCCGTCTCCAGTGATTCACACGCCACGGCTGGATGCGGCGGACATGTACTGTAACGCGCCAACGATCGCGAGCCTGTTATCAGCGAGCGCTCGGACGGCGGCAAGTCTCCGCTCGTCAAGGACAGCCCGCAAAAAGGGCGGCTTCGATGACAATCTTGCCCAAAAGCACGGCCGTTTAAAATCGCGGCCCGGACAACGGGGACATTAGCTCATGGGGAAAAGACATGGTGCGAACGGAGACAATACCGCCCACGTTCCGGGCTCTGTATAGATCGATAACATGCTTCCGCGTCGAGCGGCCGGGACAAATGCCAGCTCCAGCGGTTGACGGCTGCCGCCGCCCCGTCAGAGCCAATGTACCCTAACGAGTCGGGCTCGACCGGTCTCGGGGAGGACACTCCGCCCTCCGAGTCCGTGGAGGCCAGGACACACTCACGTGAACTCGACGTGGCGCCGCCTCCGTCCGATCACATCGAGCCAGGAGGAGCAGCCGGACGCATCAGCCGGGGGGTGCTGCGTCTCACTCGAACACTACCACCCACACTCACACTCAAACCCACCCCAGGGTAAACACCTACTGCAGTCCACGGGACGTCGCCCAGGTTAAGCCATATCAGCCCGTGGAGAACAGCACATATCCCCTGCATCAATGTGCTGCCTCCCCCCCCCCCCCCCCTCCCTCCACCCCACTCCCGAGATGTCACCCGAGGGCATCACTTCGACACATGCCTTCCCTGCAACGACAGGCGCCTTATTCCGGCCCTGCAGCGGTCAGGTAAGTCCGAGTCCGGGACACAGCCGTCGAGGTTTCCGGCCGGCACAGAGCGCCGCCGGAGCCAGCTGCGGCCAGCGCCGCCATACTCACTTGACGTCGGTGGGGATCTGCTCCAACGCGCCCACGTCGGAGGGCGAGCCGCCGTCGGCCAGCCGGGCGCCCAGCGGCGACGGCGCGCCGCTCAGCTGCAGCTGCGCCAGCTTCAGCTCGTCGTTGACCTCGCGCAGCTTGTCGCGCTCCTCCGTCAGCCGCTGCCGGGGGGCGGACGGCGGCGGCAGGTCAGGCGGGGGCGGCACAGACCGCACACGACCGAGGCCGACACAACAGCAGCACGCCACCGCCGGCACAGCGCGGCCACTCGTCCCGCCGTGGCAGAGCGGCCTGGCACGGCCGTCGCCACAGCGCACAGCATCGCACGCTGCCGGAGTCACACCATCTCCCAGTGAATGTCTCGCTCTCTTTCTCTCTGAGCGATGGCGAGACCCAGCCGAATTCAAGCGGCTGGCGTACGCGACTTCCCGGCTCTACAGTCCCCACGGGTCAGTGCGGCCGCCGACCTCACGCGCCTCTCATGCGCACGACCACCCACCACCGCTGCCCCTCCCCGTGCCGGAAGCTGGATCGTGAGGCGGCCGCCACCGGCCCCTCCCCTCTCACGATCTACGCCCGGCAGCGGCCGTCTCCTCAAAGCGCATCCGCGACATTAACTCGGCTTCGCTGCGGCCGGGTCGTAACGTGGCGATAAATGGCAGGGCGCAGCCGGCCGGCCGCCCGCGGCGCGCGCGACCGAGGGATGGCGGCCGACGCAGGGCACCCGGCCGTGCGAGATCGCCGCGCGTCTCCGGCGGCCGCGCGCACTCATTCAAGCTCCGCGCGTCCTGGGGCGACGTCCGCTGCAGGATGAAAGGCTGGGAGCCTGATGGAGGGGCGATAGGGCGGCCACGCACCGGGCCGGAGCGCCCCGCGTGCACGCGGCGGCGGCGCGATCGGCGCGGTCGGCCGCACGCGAATAGGGTCATCGTCACCCGCCGCCGCCAAGCCGGCCGCGTCGCATACCGAAGCAGCCGACAAAACACGGCGGGCGCCGGCCGACCCGACGGGCCGCGAGCGCGGGCAGGCGCGGCCCGGATGGCCCGGCTGGGAGCGCGCCCAAATGCTGACGCGCTGGCCGTGGCGATGGTTGGGAGTTCGGGGCACGACGGCCGGTGTCGGACTACCGACAACAGTATCGCGTCGGCACTAACAGTTCAAGCAGGCCGTCCGCTCCGAACAGTCGGCGCGCATATCGACAGGATAACCAGCCGGCTCTCCCGGCGCCGGCGACCAGCCGGCGCCGGGTCGGGACCAGCTATCGGCTCTCCCCTGACCAGCCGGCGCACATCGCACCCGCCACAGAGCTATCGGCTCTCCCCTGACCAGCCGGCGCACATCGCACCCGCCGCAGAGCTATCGGCTCTCCCCTTGACCAGCCGGCGCACATCGCACCCGCCACAGAGCTATCGGCTCTCCCCTGACCAGCCGGCGCACATCGCACCCGCCACAGAGCTATCGGCTCTCCCCTGACCAGCCGGCGCACATCGCACCCGCCACAGAGCTATCGGCTCTCCCCTGACCAGCCGGCGCACATCGCACCCGCCACAGAGCTATCGGCTCTCCCCTGACCAGCCGGCGCACATCGCACCCGCCACAGAGCTATCGGCCTCTCCCCTGACCAGCCGGCGCACATCGCACCCGCCACAGAGCTATCGGCTCTCCCCTGACCAGCCGGCGCACATCGCACCCGCCACAGAGCTATCGGCTCTCCCCTGACCAGCCGGCGCACATCGCACCCGCCACAGAGCTATCGGCTCTCCCCTGACCAGCCGGCGCACATCGCACCCGCCACAGAGCTATCGGCTCTCCCCTGACCAGCCGGCGCACATCGCACCCGCCACAGAGCTATCGGCTCTCCCCTGACCAGCCGGCGCACATCGCACCCGCCACAGAGCTATCGGCTCTCCCCTGACCAGCCGGCGCACATCGCACCCGCCACAGAGCTATCGGCTCTCCCCTGACCAGCCGGCGCACATCGCACCCGCCACAGAGCTATCGGCTCTCCCCTGACCAGCCGGCGCACATCGCACCCGCCACAGAGCTATCGGCTCTCCCCTGACCAGCCGGCGCACATCGCACCCGCCACAGAGCTATCGGCTCTCCCCTGACCAGCCGGCACACATCGCACCCGCCACAGAGCTATCGGCTCTCCCTTGACCAGCCGGCGCACATCGCACCCGCCACAGAGCTCACGCCTTCGCCCCACCACAAGACGTGGCCCAGCGCTCCGGTGCCGGCCAGGGCGGCCCACCACCCCCGTCCCGGCCCTCTGCGTCCCCGCGAGGAGACCGACCTCCTTCTCGCTCTGCAGGGCGGCCATCTTCTCGGCCAGCTTGCGCAGGTCGAACTCGGCCTTGTCGCGCTTCTTGGTCTCCTCGGCCAGCTGGTCGTGCAGCTCGCCCACTTGTTTCTTGTAGAGGTCCAGCTGCGGTCGGTAGCTGCCCGACTTCTTCAGCTCCTGCGGAGCGCGCCAGGCACGGCGGGTCAGGCGGACCGGGCCGGGCGCGGCTGGTAACGCCAACGCCGGACAAGGCGCACGCCACATCACGCAGCTCTTTCTAGGAAACGCTCTCGCGCTGGTGATAATTGCATACGGTATACGGCGTTCTTAGACTGGATTACGGGGAGCTGACGTGGTGATTGCTCAGCGACGCGATTACCGAAGCTCAGTTGCAAGGAAGAGGCCCTAGCATTACGCAGTGGCACGCTCGAGATGACGGACCATAAGCGGCGCAGCGCACCGGTCCGAGTTCACCAGACAGACTCATTCGGAGGCTACGAACCTCCTCCAGCTCCATGTTCTGCTGCATGTAGTCGGTGTTCTTCTCCTCGAGCAGCTTGATCTGCCGACGCAGGTCGCCCATCTCCTGCAGCCGCTTCTGGTAGGTGTCCAGCTTGGCCTCGTACTGCGGCACCTTGGACGCCAGGTCGCGCAGGATCTCCAGCTCATCCTGCCGGCGGCACGCCCGTGGTTAGCAGGGAAGCCCAGAGTCGGAGCCAGCGGCCCAGACGCTCCGCTCGGCGCGCGGCATTACACTGTCACTATCATGCAATTTAGGTAGCCCGCAACCGCATCGGTGCAAAAAGTCGGGGACAGGAAAGCCCGACGGCAGATTGAAGGATGCGATTACATATCGACATACCGTGGGCGCAATCATGCCGGAGACAACGCGCCTGATTTTATCTGACACAAACATGACAAACGTACACGACGGCCAGATGCATCTCATCACGAAGCACAACGAGCAGCCACCAGCGGGCGACAGCGGAGACATCACCGGCTACGTTCACTCGCCCCAAAAGCGGGCGAGGAGGGGCGGCGTGAAGCCCCGCCCGCGGGACGGACGGCCCGCCCACTGACCCGGAGTCGGCGCGTCTCGTCCGCCATGCGCTGGAGCTCCTCGTTCTTGGTCTGCGTCTCCCGCAGGTCCTTCTCCACCACGTCGCACCTGCTGCGCAGCTCCTCCCGCGTGGCCTCCAGCTGCCGGGCGGGGACACGCGGCGTCACCCAAGTGACACCCGTCAGTCGCCCCACCGGTGTCACCCCAGTGACGTCACACATCGCGTCGACTGTCGGCAGCGGCCGCGCCACCCCCGGCAGAGTACGCCATCGCGGGGGGGGGGGGACAGCCTTTGGATCGGTTATTGGCGCGGGCAAGCGTTCTGGTGGTTGGCGTGGTGCCGCGTGAAATGTTCGCGGCGCTCTGGGTGGTGAAATGTTCTCGCAGCACGCTAGGTTTAAACACGGGTCTCCCGATGAAAAGTCCACAGTTCGAGCACCGAGGACGGACGGGGCGCATTGGAGACTTGATCGAGAAGCCTGACTGACGGACTGCAATCAGATGCCAACTCCGCCCGATAGGCACAGCACGCCCCGCCCGACCAAACCGGGCGAACGGGCTCCGGAGAGCGGACGAAATGCAGACGTGAGTCCCCGTACGTGACAGCCGGCAGCGCTGCTACGGCGCCCCATTTATCGGGATTTCCCTGTCAAGGCGACACAAAGCCTGCAACGTTTGCGTCTAGGAGATCTCGCTGCTGCAGCCTGACAGCTCTGATTCCTCGACGAGGCAGTCCGGAGCCACGTGCCGGGTCAAGCGGGCCCTCGGCAGGACAGATGGCCCGCGAACGACCCGGACCGGCCGGTGACCAGCCCGGCCGCGCCCGGCCAGGTCAGGCTGGGGCGGAGTCGGCTCGCGGGCCGGGCCGGCGGAGCGGCCGGGACCAGTCCATCGGAATCAGTCCACCAGAGCCCGGCCACGCCCGGCCATGTCAGGCTGGGGCGGAGTCCGCTTCAGGACCGGGCCAGCGGAGCGGCCGGGACCAGTCCATCGGAATCAGTCCACCAGAGCCCGTCCACATGCGTCAAGTCGGGCGGCGTCAGGCAAGCAGGACTGAAGGAAGTGCTCCACATTTGTACGGGGTTTTGGACCGACACAGCCATTTTGAAGATTATTCGGTACAGTTCACAGCCCCTCTTAAAACCTCAACCCTTCTAATTTCTGAGTCATGCGCCCGCGGATATGTGCACACAATTTTGATGTGACTATTTCCAGGTCTCCCTTGCGCTCATGACGCCACAATGACGTCATTCAAATCCTGCCATTCCAATGGCCGCGCGGCGATCAAGGCCAAGAAAAATGTGTTTATTGGGTTGTTCACACCTGGCGTTCACGAGCACGATTTCTAGATATAACGGCCGTCAGCTGGCTCTCAATCCGTGTTGTGCAAGCTACGATGGCGTAACCAAACAATGACGTATTGAGGCGCATATTTACTTACCAACGAAACCATGGAGTCTAGGGCAGCCTGTTCCACTCAAAACTCCACCAACAGTTACAAGTGAGCTTATTGCATCACGTCTGACGCTTGCTTCGATGTCTTCAAATGTGGAGCATCCCCTTTGAGGCGGGATCGGGTCTGGTTGAGTCAGCTTACGGTAGCAGTCAGTCCGTCAGTCCGGGCTCCTCGCATAAAACGAGCCCGGCGGGTCGGTGCCCTGCCCACAGGCGGCACCACACCGCGCCGCCTCGGGCCGCCCGGGTCGTACCTTGTAGATCTCCTCATCGGCGGCGGCCAGCTTCTCGCGCAGCTGCTTGTAGCGCTGCCGCTGCTCGGGGCCCTCGCCGCCGGTCGATGCGTCCGGCAGCTCCTGCTGCAGCCGCAGCCGCTCCTGCAGCTTCTGGTTCTCGGCCCGCAGCATCGACTTCTCGTCCTGCAGCATCACGATCTGCCGGCGGCGGGCGACAGAGGTCAGGCTGAGGTCACCCGCGGGACACCAGTCACAAGGATCGGCGCTGTACGTATGCGCGCGTGCCGCCTTCCCCAGGCGCACACGCACAGCCGGCAGCGCCATTCCCTCGAGATATCCGAGCCGCCGTGCTGGCTGCGCTTTGCAGCGTCCACGTCTCGCCGCGGACCAGCGGCGCGGACGACTGGTTGACCACATCAGTCACATATCCATATCAGTCATATGCGTCGTAAAACCGTCAACGGAAGGGATTATGCTGGAGTTCCGCATTGTCCGCAGTACTGGCACCGCTCCTCACGCAGCAGACGTGAACCCGCCCGGAAACAAACAACTGGTGGCGGTTCGCAACGCATGCTGATGATGCGGCGGCCGCGTGGCTTGACGGACTAAGTATTTAGTCAATTTCGGAAGTCAACAAGTAGACGTAGAGGCCATACACTTGGAGGACTGCGGGTTAAACGCTGGTCATTACGCCGACAGTCGCAGATGCGATGCCGAAGTTACTAAATATGGGCGACTGATTTAGCATGCAAAAAAGCTAATATCTCGCTCTTAATGACGGTCAACACACCCGAAAACAAACAGCATCGAACTCGGCATATATCAGCACCTGCGCGTTCCAGCGCCAGACCACGGCCAGACCGGTCGGAGGACCTGCCGCCGTCCACGTGCGGACGTGGCGCACGCGAGGGTCACCGGCCGGCGCGGCGCCCGTGCCGCCGCGCCCGCCCGCTTTTTACTGACATCAAAGCACGGCGACCTGAGCCGGACCGCACGGCGCCGGCCGGCGGCCGTCGCGGAGGCGACCTCCCCTTTCAGAGCCGCCGCGCTCGGCGGCCGCGTGCCGTGATCGAATCGTCAGTCCAAACTGGGAGCGCGCACGCAGCGGAGACGCCAGATGCAGATACTGCGTAGTGCTGCGCGAGACAAGACATCAAGATCCGGCATGGACGCCGAGACAGCGCGGCCGGCCAGCTGTGGCGTTGCACAATGGGACGCCGCGTTTTTGGCTGACCACGTCACCACACGGTGACCTTCTACGGCGGCGGTCGAGCGCCGCGACACGGCTTCGGTCCACGGGCGGCCGGGTCGCGTTTCGCGATGCCTTCTAAGCGCGCGTCGCACGCGGCAAGAAAGGGGCGGCCGGGCTGGGGCCATCTTCTAGGGCCATCTCAGGCCGCGGCTAGCACGCATGCCGTGCAGACTCGGTTCTTCGAGCTCGTAATCCGCCGAAAGCGATGATGGAGGGGGGGGGGCGCAGGTGGGCACACCAGCTCGTGCAGGGAGGGGGGGGGGGGCTGACTCATCTCTCTCGAGCTGGATCAGGTAAGCACGTCCGGGAGCTATCGCGGACTCCGGACGGGCCGGCGGGCCCGCGGCATGCCATACCGCGCAGCACTTGGCCGACTCGGGACGCGCAGCGGCCGCCACGCCCGCCTGCCGCGCCTGCGTTCCACCGGCCGATCTTGCCGGACGTCCCCGGGGGAAGCAGCGCTCCCACCCCGTGAACGGGCCGCCCGCGCTGGTCCGACCCCTGGCCCGTCCGGCCACCTGGCCCGCCCGAGGCCCCCTCTTAAGCCGCCGCCGGTGGCTCCCGTTCGAGGAAGCTCTCAGGCGGGCGGAGCGGAGCACGCAGCCACCCCGCCCCGTCCGGCTGCAGCCACGCCTCTGCGCCGGGCCGGCTCCGCCCCCAAGGCCCACGACAGGCCGCTGCTGGCCGAGGGACGGGGCCGAGGCCGCCCGTGGCCCGCTCTCACGCCAGCAGCGGCACACGCCGGGTCTCCGGCGCCGCCGCCCGGCCGCCAGCGTTTTACTGGCGGCCCGGTGTCAGCACGCCCCGACCGCCTTGCGCCACAGCGCCCAGTTACACCCCGCGAAGGACGGAGAACGACGCCAGGTCACGGCAGCACTGGTCCGCCCGGCAGCGTCTCACACCGACCGGTCCATCGGGGCTACGTGACGTCATGGTGCAAGGTGACCCGGTGACGTGATGTCGGAGCGCCGTCCTCCCCAAACAGGTCCCGAGCGGAAAAGGCTCGCCCACGTGACGGCGACGCCGGATGTCCGGCTGGCACGCCGTATCTGGTGTTTGTGGGCGTGTCGATTACGTGGCAATGCTACTCCCTTTTCATAACACTGTCATCTATGTGAATGGAGCCCGCTGGCAGTTCATGTTGTGACATGAATTCATGAGTGAGAGCCTCTTCATAACACGCACCACCGCAACATGCTTTACATTTCCAAGAACTACTAAGTTGTTTGGCTATAGCTGATGCTGAAGCTAACGTACACTGAAAAGGCGAGCACGCGTAAAACGCAACAAAGTGGTCTACTGGGTGTTAGCGGACTTGCTCTAGCTGCTGCCTGCGCCCTCGCTCCACCCGTGCCACCCGTCACCCTGGCCGGAGGTGCTCGCCGACCGTACCGCTCGCGATCCTCACAAGCCGGCGTCAGCGGGCACGCCGGGTCACCATTCTGACGTGTCGTCCAGCACAGCGTCCGGGCGCCGCCTGTCCCAGTGCTACAAAGCTTACCGCCTCGATGGGCGGGCGGCCGGCCGGCGGCGACGCGGCTGATCGGCAGCCAACACGGTAGAGGCACGGGTCGGCGCCGAACGGCCGCTGTTACACCGGTCATTACATAGAGATGGCCCGGCCCGGCTGCCGCCGCCGGGCCGGGCCTGCAGCGAGACGAAGCTGGCCGGGCCGCTTCCCGGACGGCGGCAGCCGGGCGGAGCGCAGCGCCCTACGGCCGCTGCCGACTGCGGGGGCGGCGCGAGGTTGTAGCGGGCGTCCAGCGGCGCCGCCCCCTCCTCCCTGCTCGTGACGGGCGGCCGAGCCCGGGCGCGCCGCCGCCGCCGGCTCAGCGGCGCGGTGCGGGGCCTCGTCCCGGATCCGCCGTCGTTCCGCCCACCAGGGCACGTCACAGTCTCGGGCCTCTCTCTGGACTTGCCAGCATCTCCGTCACCCCTACTCGGCCCACCCGGCGCAAATTGCCAGGGTCCGCCGTCAGCGTCCGGTCCCGACAACATCGGCCGACCGGCTGCCCGGCGGGCGTGGCGACCCGAGGCCCGATCGGTCGTGAGTTCGACACCCGCGCGGCGCGGCCCGCCCCTCGGCGCTCTCTCCGGCGCCGCTCGACCCCCGGCCGCCGCTGACCTGGTTGTCGAGCTCGTAGCAGCGCTGTTGGATCTTGTGGCGCTCGTCCTTGATGACCTCGAGCTCGGAGGCGAGCTCAGGCAGGCAGCCGACGTCGAGCGAGGGATCGAGCAGCGAGCTGCCCGAGCCGCCGCGCGACATCAGCTCTTGAATAGCGGCCATCAGCACCGCCTGCACGGTCGGCTCCAGCTCCTGGATCGACTCGATGTACTCTGTGGGGAGGGAGGCGGGTGAGTCATCACAATGTCGTCGCTTTCAACCGCGGCTCGACACCAAGAATCACCCGTTTCAACCGGAGATGTTTTTATGCTGATGCTAGCGGGCGTTCAAGCGCAGCTCACAAGAAGGGCACCATCGATTACATGTCGTTTGGTGGGCTAAGACCGAAATAGTAATGCAAGACGCATGGGAGAAGCCGCACGATGCGAAAGGACACAGATGTGGGGCGGCTGTTATGGTCAGAACCACGCATACAGGCAAAGGCTGGCAAAGATCGCCCACGCGGTAGCGTCTGATTACTGGGTCCCGAATATTGGGTCCAATCAAAGGACCGAGAAACTTCGCGAAGCGCCCGCAGATAATCGATGGTGACAGGTAAGTCAGCCCGCCCTTTGGCCGCCAAAACAGAGCAGCTTTCCCATTCCGCGGCACAAAGCAAGACAGAGCGTCCTCATTCCCGCGAGAAGGAAGAAAAACCCCGCGTAGCTTACAACCGCGACCCGCGAAACTCGGCAAGCCCACAAGGCTACCAAAAAATTAGCATCGGTCCGGAAAACCACGCGCTAATGTCAGCCGGCGCCGGCGAGTGACGACAGTCCGCGGCGGCGGCGTGAGAGCTGACCCTCGGCCCGATCTGAGGGGCCTGGGCCGCCGTCCACGGAGCGCGGCCGGGGCGTGGGAAAGACGGGGCCGGCGCCCCCGCCGCGCTGTGTTCGGCCGTGACGTCGGCGCCGCACGCAACCGCACCACCTGCAGCCGCTCCCCGGCGCCGCCAGTTCCGTCGCCTTTTTTGCCGGCGCGCCCCGGCGGTGACGGCGGCCGGCCGACCGGGCGCGGCCGCTGCCCCCGCATTGCTGGCGAAACTGCACTCGCCGCTCCTCGCCGGCGGCCAGGGAGCTTTCGCCGGAGGAGCCGCTGCAGCCGGCCGGCCACCACGCGTGGTGAGCGGCTCCGGCCGCCGCAGGTGGACCAGCGCCCCGGACCCGCCTCTCTCACGCCGGCGGGGCCGGCCGGTGGGAGCGGGCCATCAGACGAGCCCCCCAGTGGGGAAGGGGGGCGAGAACGTCCGCTGTCGGTCCGCTGACCGGACCACGGACACCCCACACCACGGGGCGACGCTTCGAAGGTGGCTCGTTTACGGCAGACGATGGGACATGGGGCGCACATTGGTCAATTGATCATTAGCGCTCGTGGTGGAGGTGAGGTTCGATCCAAACCATCTGTGCGGACTGACTGTAATGTGACTGTGACTGAAACCTCCATTGGTGGGTGGACTGTGAGCGGATCGGTGCCGATTATCTGAGCGCGTCCCGATCCAAACGATCGGAGTCAGCTGACGTCCGTGACCGACGACGTCACGCCTCCTCCCCGACACGGCGCCAAGTACACCAACTCCACGGTTTGAACGTCTCGCTCGGCCCGCCGCCCGGCACGACCCCGCCACCAGCGCGAGCGGCCGCCCGACGGCGCGCTGACGCGGTCGTGCGGGCGCCCGGCCGTAATCCCGGCACAAGGCCGCCGGGCCGCCGGGTCGCTGGCGCTGGAGCTGATCGGGCCGCCGCCGCACCGGGGTCTGGCGGTCTCGGCGGCCCGGTCTTCAGCTGCCGCTCCCAGAGCGAGCGTGCGCTCGGCTCCGACGGATGGAGATGAGTCAACAACCTGTCGGCTCCACACCTGGCCGCCCAGCTCGCCGGCCGCCGAGGCCAGACAGACACCAGACAGACACCAGATCACAGTCAACAAACAACGAGCTGAAGCTAATGCTGAGGTGGATGGACGCCGGAAAGGGGCACCGGAAGTTTTCCAAGGTAAAGGAGCCGGTAAGCACTATTACTGATCTCGTTTCAGCCATAACCCACAGTGTCAAAGTTAGCTCTTCGGGCAGCTGGGGCGTTTCTCCCCTCCTCGCCTCACCGTTCCCGCGCCCTTGGCCCGGGTTCACGGGACGCGGCGGTCGCGGTGTTACAAAATGCAGCGTTGCCATCGCCTGCCCGAACCGCATGACGCTGGTCTGGGAGCCCGCCGCTGAACAGCGCTGGCGGTCAGTCGGACCCCGCGCGCTGCGCGCACAACCGGCACTGCCCTTGGTGTCCAGTGCCCCGGCGTCAGCCTCGGCGGGTGTGCCGAGCCCATGCTCGGTTCAGACGCGCCGCCGCCGTCGCACAATCGGCCCCGGCGTCAAACGGGCGTGCAGCGGCCGCCAACACCACCGCCACGGGCAAACAGCGTCGCGAGCGGGTGCCACTCAGAGCGACGTCGGCAGCCATGCCAGCACCGCGCCGGCCCGACCTCGGGCACGGCGTCGGCACGTGGGCACGCGGAGCCGGTCGACGGCGGCGGCCGGTGGCCGGCCGGCAAGGCTCGCGGTGAAAACCCGCGCCCGGCGGCAAAAACCGGCCCCCGCCGCGTGCGATCGCACCTCACGCCGGGCCGGTGACGGCTTCGACGGCAGCGGCGGCGGGGGTCGGCCGGCGCACGCGGCCCCCGGACGTCGTTACGAAGTGACGCGCCGCGGCGGGGCCTTCACGCCGCGGCGGGGTCTTCACGCCGCGCGGCCGATACACTCGGCGACGGCGGAGACAGCGCAAATCGCTGGAAACCGGTACGAGCCGTGAAAAATGGCCGGTAAACGGGCGGCGCCGAGCGGCGGGTGAAACGCCGCTAATGGCATACAATTGGCGGGCAGGGTCGAGAGCCGGGTCAGGGGGCAGGCGCGACTGTGCCTGACCCGGGCGGCTGGTCAGCGGGAGAAGGCGATCTCGGGCGCGGATCATGCCGCCGGAGCTGTCGGTGGGTCTGAGCGGGCCTCGCTGAGCACAGCAGCAGCGTCCGGCCGGGCTCATGGCCATGACCCGCCGAGCCCCCGCTGCCACTCACTCAGCGTCTGCCACCCAAGTGCTGCTGTTGCAACCGACGGGACGGCCCAAGAGGGGCGTGATTACCCTCGTGTTTAGGACGTGTTTACCGTCCGACGGCAGAACAGCCGTCTCGTCGTCTGGTTGATGACGTCACTTGCTTGAGAGGCGAATTCTCGTCATAAGCACGCAGGCGTCTAATGCATCGCTACAGATAAAGGACACGGATGCCGCACACGTCAGCGCCCCGACAGCAGGAACGCGTGATAACACACGGACGCAATCGCCGAGTGACCTCAGCCATCAGACCCAGCGAACCCAGCCCACCTGCCGGCGCCGCCACAGCACGCCTGCAGCACCCGATCGCGCGCCGCCCCGCCGCCCCGCCCCCCCCCCCCCCCCCTGCGAGAGCAGCCGAGTGCCGGGTGGCCGCCGTGGGACGGCAGTCCATTACGGCCGGCCGATAAAGCAGGGCGGCTGGACGGGCGGGGGCCGGGCGCTGCCGCCGGCCGCTCCCATGGCGCCGGCGCCGCCAGCCTTGGTCGCGCGAGCCTTGGTCCGTGTGAGGTGCCGCGCCCGTTCCCGGCGCCGGCGGGTCTGTCCCTGCGCCGGCAGCCGCTGCTGCATGTCGCGTGGGAGTGTTCCGTGTTGACCGAGGACGACGTGTGGAGGAGAGGGGACGAGGGAGGACAGGCCAGCGAGAGAGGAGAGGCGGGATGTAAGGGAATAGGGACAGAAGAGGGCACGGCAGGGAGAGAGAGGCACAGTGTAAGAAGAGGTGAAAGAGAGGTGAATTCCATGGAAACAGCGAAGGTGGTAAGAGGGGAGAGCGGAGGGGAGAAAAAATGGAAAGACGGCCGGGGTGGGAATACGAATAGAGTAATGAAATAAATAGCACATGCAGATGGATAACAATAAAGAGGACGGCTCGGACATAAAATGGAGAAGACACATAGTGCGGCGAGACAGATGCAGAGATCGATGGATTAGCTGTACCAAAAACGCTCGTTCGTTCGTTCGACAGGCGGCGGGACCGTGGTACAGGCGGTCAGACAGGTGGCGGGACCGAAGTACAGGCGGCCAGATAGGCGACGGGACCGAGGTACAGGCGGCAAGACAGGCGGCGGGACCGGGGTACAGGCGGCCAGACAGGCGGCGGGACCGGGGTACAGGCGGCCAGACAGGCGACGGGACCGAGGTACAGGTGGCAAGACAGGCGGCGGGACCGAGGCACAGGCGGCCAGACAGGCGGCGGGACCGAGGTACAGGCGGCCAGAGAGGCGGCAGGACCGAGGTACGGGCGGCGAGACAGGCGGCGGGACCGGGGCACGGGCGGCCAGACAGGCGGCGGGACCGAGGTACAGGCGGCCAGACAGGCGGCGGGACTGAGGTACGCGCGGCCAGACAGGCGGCGGGACCGGGGCACGGGCGGCCAGACAGGCGGCGTGACCGAGGTACAGGCGGCCAGGCAGGCGGGCCGTACCTGCCTTCGCAGCACGACCGTCCCGTCACGGCAAGCGTCGGCCGCACGCCGCCGACCGCAGTGAAACCGGTGCCGGTCGGCGCACGTGCGACGGTCGCCCGTCGGCGCGGCCGGCGGGCGGCGAGCTGACCCGGCCGCCGAGGCCGCTCGCAGGCTCAGGTCACCGTCGTCCGACGGCGAGGAGTCGGCGCGGCAGAGCCAGCAGACGACAGTGGCGCCCGCCCACGCCGTGCCGCCGTCCGACGGCGACGAGTCGGCGCGGCAGAGCCAGCAGACGACGTGGCGCCCGCCCACGCCGTGCCGCCGCACCACGGCCGCTGAGCCGTACGCTTCGCCATACTGCATCCGCCATTAAACCATATTAATGGGAATTAATTCCATTACAGCGTCGCTTTACTAATGGCGTGCCGGATTTCACAAGAGGTGGCATCGTTCCCCCATTGAGTCACCTCAGAGATAACATCGATTTCGTGATTCTGTGCCTAATTGTGCCGCTGTAGTAACATGCCCCACTGAAATTACCAACGAAGCCGTAACCGATGCTACCATAATCGACATCACGCCCCTTCTAACTATTTAAAAAATATCGCCGACAATCGCATCATATTAGTACCACCCTACCCGATCCTATCACCGCCGCCCCATGGCCTCAACCCGTGCCGCGCCGCCCCGTCGTAAGGTCAGCGACGAGCGGCCACCCGGTGCCGGCCGGCCGGGCCGGGGACGACCGGCGGGCGCCGACTTTCGTCCGGCACGACCCGGCGCAGCAGGGCGGCAGACGTGGGCGTGGGAACAGCGGCGGCAGCAGGTGTCATCTCGCCGTCATCACGCGCCGAGAAACCGGCGTCACCGGCCGGGAGGCAGGCCCGACGCGGGCCACAGCCGGTGTTGAACGCGGGGGCGCGGCGTGCGGCGCGACAAAATCACCGCTGTGCCGCGACAAGACCTGCCCCTGCTGAGGCCTGCCGAGGCCTGCTGAGGCCTGCCGAGGCCTGCTGAGGCCTGCCGAGGCCTGTCGAGGCCTGCTGCGGCCTGCTGCGGCCTGCTGCGGCCTGCTGAGGCCTGCCGAGGCCTATTGAGACCTACTGCTCCCCTCACAGGGTGTGAGCGGAGCATCTCCAGTGGCGGTCGGCACGCCCAGCGAGCGACGACGGTAGAGGCGGGACGGGCAGCGCGCGCCGCCGCCCGTGACCTACAGCGACCGGCGGCGACCGGGGCGGGCCGCGCCGCTGGGGTCAGGCCAATAACACCCGCGGTGAGTGGCGCGCGGAGGCCGCTCACGGGGTCGGGGGTCGGCGCGTGTCGCCGCGCGCTTAGGCAGCTGTTGTGACGCCGTTTGTGCGGCTGTTGTGACGCGCCACCAGCGGCGGGTCGCGACCCCCGGAGCGCGTGTCGCTGCGCCGGCGGCCCAGCCGGCGGGAGGCGGGGCGGGGGGAGGCCGGCGTGGCGGTCGCCACGCCTGCCAACGCAGCCGGCCGCCGCGCCGGCGCTGCAGCAGCGGAGGCGGCCGCGGCCGAGCTCCTGCCGGTGCCCGAACGCACCGTGAAACCAGACACGGGCGTAATGAGCGAGGAATTGCCGGACGCTCCATTGGGGCGCTTTCCAGTGCGGGCCGCCGCCCGGAGACGGATGAGCCGGCTGGAATGACCAACAATGCGGCGCGGCGGCATAATCACGCGCGGGTGGCCAGCCGGCGCTCGCCGAGAGCCGGCACCCGCCGCCGCCGCCAAACACCGTCATTGCTCACCGCCCTGGCGGCCGGACAATCCGATCTGCATGCGTCTCTGTGTTCTCGGCGGGACCCGGCGCTTCCCGGGGGTGTTATTGTCCGGGCGGGTCGCGCTCGGTCATGCGGACATATGCCGGGGAGGAGGCCTCAGCTGCGCGTCACCAGTCTGGGCGGCGGGCCCGGCCGGCCCGCCAGCACCGCGGTCGCGCTGTCCCACCGAAACCGGATCCGAACTGTGCCAGCTAAACGACGGTCGGGGATAAAGACGCCCGTAGCCTGGGCAGGGAGACCAGCTATGGGATTAACTACGCAGGGCAATCAAAACTTTCCTCGATGGGTAAACCATTACGAGCTGGTCCTAAATAACGCCTGCCCAAACATTAACGCCGTCGGCCCGGACCGAACCCCATTGGGGACCAGATAGAAAGCGCCGCCCGACTGGCGCTGTGACAAGCCAAATCGCAGCCGTAGCGGCCGGGTCCTTGAAGCGCGTGTCGGGTGCGTCACCCCGTCAGCACCGGTGACGAATGTCCGCATGGACGCCAAGTCCAGCGCGATCGCGGCATGTCCACCCGGCCGGGGCGCTGCCGCTGCTGCCCTCTGTCACGAGCGGCAGCAAACGAGAGAGGCCGCGCTGCTGTGACGCTGTGGCCGATGGGGAAGGGAGCCCCAAGGTGAATAAGCTTTGGTGGCGGACAGATATAGGATACCAGATGGGAACATCGGAAGGAAATAAGGGAGAGAAGGAACAAAAGGCAATATTGGGCGTTAGTCAAAGCGGTGATGCCACAGGTCATGCCAATATCGCCGCGCGGCGGACGGCGGTGCCCAGGAGCAGGGGCTCTGGCACCTACCCAGCCACCGTCCCAAGCGGCGCACCACACGGCGCGACGGCGCAGCCGCTGGGTCCAGCTCGGACTCCGCCGCTAACCCGCCGCACGCACACCGGAAGCGAGCCGCATCCGGCGCGCCTGGCAGACGCGCGACCTCCGGGCGTGCGCGCGCACGCCGGGCCGCGGCACCGGCGCGCCGGGGGTCACGGCAGGTCACGCTGGGCGTGCCGGAGTCACGGAGCAGGCGGTCACGGGACGAGTGAGCACGCCCGCCGGCGGGGGCGGTGACACTCTCACTAAGAAACGCTGAGCCCACGCCGGCGACGTCCGCCCCGCCTCTCCGCCAAACCGCAGCGGGTCCACACCGCTCGCCGCTGACACACGGTTTTCCGCGTTTATGAGCTGTACGCTCTCCATCTCACACCGGAGATCTGCCCCGACCAGCACGGGCCGGCACAAATCGAGCGGGCGCACGCAACACTGCTGCTTGTCAGCTGGGGCTCAGCACGGGGCACTGTGCCTTCCCGGGCCGAATGGTATCGCAGGATCCGCCAGCCGGGCGGTGACGGCCGGCGCTGTCACAACGATGAATCGCTGGCTGGGCTTTTCGAGGACGTCAGGGTGGAACATTCTCGATCAAGCCGAAGAAGCAAAGGTAGCATGGAGCGTCCGTGTGCTTCGAGATTTTCTCAGGCTCCACCGGCGAAATAAGAGACGTGGAGGCCGTAAGGTGGATGCGTCCGTTCACAGATGTGTGCATGCATGGTCAAGAAGCTCTGCTTACCTATACAGTACCGAAGCTTACGCTCAGAAAACAATCCGTCATCGTCAAGTGACCACCGCTGGATGGCACATGGGTTTTGAGCCGTCAGATTAGCAAAGCGGACAACACACTCGTCAAATCCCGTGGTTTAGCATTTGACACGCTCCGACCTTCCCGACATCACGCAACTCCCCTCGCCTTTGTTCGGCGGGTGTTACGGCTGCACCTCTTCTGGGAATATTCCGCCACGGGATATCTGGGGTCAATCAGGGCTACGCAGCGTCGCGTGGACTGAGATGGCTACCTCGTGCCACAGCGATCAAATAAGACACCGAATGTATCGACAGTCGTGAACATCCAAAAGACAAGTAAGCCAGAGCTGGAGGGAGCGTGTTACCTTTAATCGAGCTACATCCCACACTGCGCGACAGCCGCGATAGTTCATCAACATGCCATCGGGATTTTTTTTCTTCAAAATTAAGCCCTTGGTCGCCGACCTTTGTTCAGACTAGCATTGCCTCGCCTGCATTGTTCGGAGACGGTTCGTGGACCACCTCGCTCCATAAGCATGTGATTCATACCGGTACACTACCTCCACATCACAAGCCGCAAACTTTGTAGACCACCTCGCTCCATAAGCATGTGATTCATACCGGTACACGACTACCTCCACATCACAAGCCGCAAACTTTGTGAAAAGCCAGGGCACAATTATAGAGTGCTGGCCGTTGACTACACTCGCTGGCCCCGCGTTGCCGAGCAGGATGAAACACACGCTACACAGTGCGGTCAGCCGGAGCGATGGCCACACCATCGACACAAAGGACCGCCACACATTCCATCTGTCTCGGATAGCTGTGTGTTCCAGCAGGGGCGGTTCAAACCGGCAAGTTTCGTGCAGTCCTAGAAAAATGCTGAACCTGTCATCTCCTGTGTGTGAACTCCTGGAAACAAACCTGTCCTTTCAACCGACATACCGAAATGTTTTTTCTCGCAAGTTCGGCAAGCTTGAAATGATGCAAGAGAAAATCGTGAAGCAACTTTTGAACAATGACGGTGTGGAGCAAGATTGCTTGTAATTCCGCATGGCAATTGTACTATAGCTTCAGTGCAAGTGCGGTGACCACACAGTGCAAGCGTGCACGTCATTGAGTCATTGACCATTGACCGGCAAACATGGCGAACTATGCTGACAGATCATTAACTCATGAGCAGAAACTACAATAAAAGTGCACCGCGAATTTCGTTACCGATTGTGTGTAAATGTCTAACATTTACGAGCATAGCATTTTATACA